ATGCTGCGGATGCTGCGGATGCTGCGGATGGTGGTGATGCCGAGAGGCTGCTGGACAGTGCGCCGAAATTGCTGCTTTTAGGCTCGCCCGCCTCGGCCGCATTCCGAAGCATCAAATTCCACACCCGACTCGGCTCGAATTGCGGCTTGACGTGCTCGAGCTGCAGCCTTGCGTCTTCGCCCTCCCAGACTCCACCTGCGCACCCACCGCCACTCAATCTACTCTGCCTGCTCAGCACGGCTCGCATTGTGGAAAAACACGATAGAATTGTCCATACTGATTCGCGGTGCGGCTCTCTACGTCTTGCGGAAGCAGCGCGTGGTGTTGCGCTTGACCCAGTAGATCAGACAGCCCACAAAGCGGAACAGCGACAGCCCAAACGTCGCCCACAGGATAATCTTAAAGTAGGTCGACTGCTTGGAGCTCTGCTGCTGCTCGATCTGGCTGTTGGTGAGGCCGGTGTTGACGCCGTTGACGTTCTCGATCGCCACGGTCAGCGCGCCGTTGGTGAGCAGCCAGAACGCCACGAGGCGCGTGCGGAACGTCTTGTTGCTGTCGTCCATCGTCGGCTTCTCCACCGTCTCGACCGGCTTGAACGGCGCCACGGCGCGCGACACCACCGCCTTGAACGTCTCGTCAATGTCGTCCTGGTGGCGCTCGATCTCCTCGACTGTGCCCGGCTCGGTGCCCTTGTCCTTCTTGGTGTCGACGGTGGGCAGCGCGTCCGCCTTGTCCGAGCCCTTGGTGCCCCAACTGACGTCGTGCAGGTTGCAAAAGGCATACACGTTGAGCACGTTGATGAACGACGGCGCGATGAGCATGTACTGCGGGAACGACGTGATCATGTGCCAAGGGTCCGCATACAGGATGGAGGCGATGAGGTAGATGCCAAACGTCGCCGCGAGCGCTGCGATGAGCACGCCTGTGGTCTGGTTGAACAGCGCATGCCAAAGGTCGCCCGAGAAGCTCGTGTGCACGAGCGCCCTCACCGTGAGCCAGAGCGACGTGAAGATCAGGTAGAGACCCAGGATGCCAAACACGATAAACGACACAATGTACGTCGTCTTTTCGCCCTTGGGCCTGTTGCCGAGCGCGAGTACGAATTGCAGGCCGAGGAAGAAGACGTACACCCACTTGGCAGCCTGGTTGATCCAGTGGAAGACGACGAGCGTAGTTTGCGACTGGTCCTTGAGCAGCTCGTCGGGCAGGAACTCGATGATGATGGAAAACGTGAGCCAGAGGTTGGCGAGCGCGAACCACGAAAAGATGAGCACAAAGGCGTTGTAGAGCGCCTGGAGGTGGAAGAAGAAGAGCCGGATGATGCCGTGGTTGGACTTGTAGATGCGGAAAAAGTGGACGAGCGAGTAGATGGACGCGGCAAACGAGCCGTTGAGCCAGCGTCGACGCTGCGAGATCAGCTCGGCCGCGCCCTCGGGCACATCCGTCTCGCCCTTGGACGGCTTGACGTAGGTGAGCGTCCACCTGTCGCCCGCCTTGGCCACCAGCTCGAAGCACAGGATGCGGTCCTCGGCCAGGAACATGTTTTTGGTAAAGATGTCCATGCCGTGCAGGCCCTTCTTGCCAAGCCGATCGGCGAGCGTGTGGTCGCCGTGGAAGTACTGCTGGAGCGGCCTGCCCTGGATGGCGCGGAAGCGGTAGGCACTGAAGGCACCGGGCAGCACGCTGACGTAGCCAAACGTCGACTCGAGCGGCTTGTCGAGGATGTTGGACATCTTGTACTCGAAGTTCTGCG